CAAAATCATGTATTTTGTCGCCTCTTCTTCATTTTCCTCTGGGATTCTGACTATAGTTTCCATGTCCCAACATCCTGATATCTTTACCTTTTCAAGATTCAAAAGTTCTCGGGCAATTAAATGCGAGAACACATAATTTATTCCAGAACAAGATGTCAATTTCAAATATCTCAAATTTTGGAAGCCCTGGAATCCAGACGGAATGTTTTTCCACAAGTGTGTAAACGTACAATCGTATATCTTCAACTTACGTAATTGGGGACATGTTGGAGCTGTCTGCCCATCCATAACTATATGGATTTTCAGATCAAATAGCACGCCTTCAAACTCCATTTCAGACAACTCTACCTCTTCTAAACTTGGAAACCATGAAATGCACTTCGATGGAAATATTGCTTTTTCAAATATTCCTGCACATTGATGCTAAAAGAAAAATCATTATCAGTTAAACAATTTCAAATTTCCACATATCATAGAGATTGGAGAGTGGGACATACCTCTTAGTTGGAGTATAGCTTGTTAGCTTGGAAGAAACCAACCAAACTCCATAGACCCCAGAGATTCAAATTGGTTAATTTATAGAAAGATATCATATCGGCTTCCTCATCGTGTTCCCTCCCCTGCTTCGACACAATTTCTTCCATTTGATCACATCCACCAATATCTAATCCCTGGAGTTGTACCAAGTTTCTCACTGCTGATAGTGAAAAGGCGTATTTTAAGACATCACAACATGACAATTCAAGGAATCTTAGGTTGGTCAAAAAGCTATTTGGAAGTTGACTAACTGATTGTATGCGAGGAAGGAGTGCACTTGTTGCATTTACAAGATACTCGATATTTGGACAATTATAAAGATACAAAACTTTCAAATCTTGAAATCCCTCTTCGTCTAAATCGATGAGGGTAGAGAAATTCTTAACATTGCTCAAAGCCAATTTTTTAAATTTTTTCAACATAAGTCTAACTGCTTGACTCTCCATCAACTCCCTTGCACCACTATCATCAATCACCAAATAATTTTCGAACGTATAAGTTATCATCATCAACTTCCTTGCAGCATGTCCATCGAACGACTCCCTTGTTCCAAAGTATATATGGAATTTTATTGTTGGGCTTTTCAAGACTATGTCTTTTGGCAACAAGTGGATGACATTGGGGGGTATTTCTATGGATAGAACCTTCAAATGATCAGAGAGAGAAATCACCTCAGAAATGCTTGCCATCCTCTTATCTTCTCTTCCTGTTCCAAGGTCCCATTGATCAGAGCTACCCATCATATACAACTCTTCAAGTCTACGTAAGCTGGAGAAGATACCATGTGGAATCACCTTAAGATTCTTGCAGTTTGTCGTATCTAACAACCTCAACTGTTTAAGTCGTCCAATTTCCCTCGGCAACTCGTGCATGAAATAACAATCTCGAAAGCTGAGGATTTCTAAATTCTCCATACTCCCAATAACATCAGTAGACATGCCATAAAAGTGAGACCCATCTAGGCACAAGGTCCGCAGGTTCTTCAGTACTCCTAGTGATCTTGATGAGCCTAGTACTTCCATTTCCACCAAAGCTAAAACCTTCAGTTCTTTCATCTCATTACAAATGATGTCCATGCTACCTTCTGAAAAACGTCCTTTCATTGTCTGTAGAAGCTCAAGTTTTGGGCATTTCAAACCAACTGGAATCTCCAATTCGCCAACAAGTGAGATTGTAGTGTAATGGTCATATGTAGATAAATTTGACCACCCTTTATTTTCAGCATGACTTCTTATCAAAAATCCATGTGAATCTCTTGAAGCAATTGATATGGCAACATCGCGAACTATGTCATGCATTTTTGTGGTCTCGCTCCTGCCACCATCTAGTAACAAAAACCTTCTTTTTCGTTGGTCAACCAAAGAATGCACTCTATTTCTTGCATCTTCCAAAGTAAGATGTCAGAGGCTTGGTCTGCTTATTGCAACTACTAGTGAAAGCACATGATTCAAGGTCATCTTCGGCCATCATTTCATTTGGAACACTGGTATGGCCTTGAACAATCATCGCTGGAACGGCTTCAGAAGGAGTACAAAACTGTTTCATCCCCGTCTACAAGCTTGCTGAAAGAGGACCAGAGTTGTATGTCATGGCTTTATAAACAAGCACACAACTCTGTCATCTATGTAAGCTTAGGAAGTACAACATTCATGGATAGTAAAAACTAGCTAAAATGGCATGGGGTCTGGCCAACAGCAAGCAGCCTTTCTTGTGGGTGATTTGGATGACGAACAGTTATCTGGAGCACTCGCTCGTCCTCAAGCGAGACAAGTACGTCCTCGTTGGAGAACGCTGACAACATCTCCGTGAGGACGTGGGCATTTCGGGTCTTTCACTGCCGTGAGCAAAGTAACGAACGTAAAATGCACACTCATTCTCAATCATTATAAGTGTCTTAATAACTCACCAAGCATATTACTTGTCGCACCATAACCTTGCTCCCTAGCCTTGACATGCTTAATCCATGCGTAGAAAAGAAATCATCAATAGCCACCTTAAGTGAGTCAGCAGTATTATCAGTGGCTTGTACAACGCATAAAAAAGGCTCGATCACATGACCTTTATCCACCAAACGTATTACAATAACCAATTGCTTAATTGAAGACATGTCATGAAGCTCATCAATAGGAACGGAAAAAGTGTGAACCACCAATATCTTTAATGATTGCATTGATGATTTCCATTGAAAAAGCAGTTATGACGTCCTGAGTATCAGGTGAAGTCAACTTTAGACCTAAGGGAGGATTTCTCAATGTGATGGCTTTTAACTCCTCGTGATGATCACATTGGAAGTTCCTGAGTCCAAGAAAAACTCCTTCGTTGTTTGAACCTTAATATTCATCGTCTCTGCAATATATAAGGCCTTGATGCCATTGATGCAAAAGAAACCTCGTACAAACAATTGATACATCCAAAAGAGTGTTACATTCCTTTAGTGCTTGGTGTTGCTTTAATAAAGCATCATAGGTTCTCCAAGCTTGGTTAAGGGCGCTATTCCGTCCTCCAACATGACCCTGCAACCTTTCCTTCTTTCAATTAGAAAACCCTTTACTAACAAAGCAATCACCGCAGGCTTGCTCTCTACATAGACAATACAAAGCATCTTTTGCTATAGTATATTCCAACCAAGTTGGAAGCTCATTAAACCAAGCAGAAATAAACCTTCTCGGACCCCCACTAATACTCTTGTTGGGAAAGTCATGGTCTCAAGTCAGAAAATGACCCTTTTGTATATATGCTCTTCGAACTTAGGATGGTAATCCCAAATTCGAGTGCGCAGCAAGGGACTCTTCCAAGTTGATTTCGACGCAAGCTTGTTTCGAGCTTTTGTCGTTCTCTTTTGGAGACGATGACGACTCCATTGACTCATCAGATGATTTTCTTTTCAAGCATCTTCCATGGCAGCTCTACTTCAAAATTTTGGGTCTTTTAGCACATATATCATACAAACTAGAAATTCTTCAAAATCCTAATAATTATTCCAGTATCATCCAACAATCAGAGATACTACAAAAGTCTTCCTGTATTACTGCAAGGGTACACAAAAAATCCATTGGATTAAATTTACTGAGGAAGCAAAGAGTGAGAGAGAGGGAGTTTTTGAGTCCTCAAACGTCTGAGAGATAGAAAGGGAGGGAAACAAGAGCGAGGAAGGAATTTTGTAGGCAGCGACAGGGTAGGGGGCACTTGGGCTTAAAGGCATTTTCATGTTTTTGTTCAACCAAAAAAAAAAAAAAACATTTTTTTGTTTTTCTTTAATACAATTATATATTTACATAAACTCGTCACTCTTAAGATTCGAACCTAAGAATGAATACTATTAAATCGCAATACTAAATGTCAATTGTTAAACAATGATATATTTACACAAACTCAAAATGGACCGGACTAAAGAGTATAAGAGAGGGTCGAGTTGGCCACTTCATAGACAACAAAATTTATTTCAAGATAGAGATGTTGGGTACTACAATTCCAGTCACATTATAAATATATAATATCAATATTATTTGTAGTTTGATATAAATATTTAGACAATCAAAATTTGTCATTTGGTCAAATAGTGCTAAATAGATAAATTAAGGTCAAATGTGAAATTTTCAGAAAGATGCTGACAAATGCTCATTTCTTACTTAGGATGAAAAGGTAGAGGAAAATATTGTTAGCCAATGAAAGAGAGAATCAAAGAGTGGAGGAGGAACTATTTTGCGATTCATACGTGTAATCCTAGCGTAAAAATCACACTAATCTTCTCTGTATCGTTCTAAGTTTATGAGATGTCCATGAAGGAGATTTCATGACGGTTTGCTCATAGCGAATTTAAGAGAACATTGATGCCCGAACGATGAAGATTTTGGTTGTCAAATTGGGCTCTTATTTGGTAGGGAGTTTAGGTTTCAATTTGAGCTTTTGAAGGGAGACACAGAAGGGGTGATTGATTAATTACGATCTCTAACGAAATCCAACACAAAGCTGCATGATGGCATAATCAATGCTCCAAAACTTGATAATTCTAAGATACAATCCAATTGTAGTATGAAAAAAATTCACATTGTGGTATTTTGGATGTTGGAATCGGAACATTCGGTTCACTAAAACGACATTTATAAAAGAAAAGGACAAGGATTGAGCTTTCTAGGTTCTTTTTCTTTGCGATGGTGGCTCCACAAGTCAGGCCGATACAGAGCTCTGCAATGGTGGGCTTTGCAAATCATGGTTGCCATATTGCAAAATCCATCAAAAACATTCTCAGGGAAAACTTTCATATGACCTATCATCTTAATATTTTCTTGTAGTGCTCATCAATATGATCGTGTGAGCATAAGCAGAACGAATTTTAGAACTAAAATAAAGATTCCACGGCACTACAAAGTTTAAGGATAGTATAATAATTTTGTATTACCATGATTGATTACCTTATGCTGTCAGTTTACCTTTATTTTTCATTTCTATTTCAAATTATTTTATTTCTTTTCCTTTTCATTTTGTTTCTTTTTATTTAGATGTTTATTAAAAGTGAAAAAAAATTTAATGATATTCTTCTTTATTCGTAACTTGTACGTGGAAAATCTTATATTCAATTATCATTACATGCGAATTTGAATTATATTACATCTCGCCATTATTATTATTATCAAAACATGTTCTGTCTCATCTCACATATCAAACGTACTTTTGATGATAGATAATATCATTTATTCCCACAAAAAAAAAAAAAAGGGGAAAAGAATTAAGATGTAAAAAGTGGGATAAACCCATTTTCTTTCCTCCTCCCGTATCCTCCCTCCTTCTGTTTTGCGCTGCAACAGGAGCCCCATTATACAGCAAGCCGACGACTGCCGAGTGCCGACGCAACAGCTCTGTCATCCACGGGTCACCAAAGGCTCTCAAACTACACATCCAGAATGCTCTTGCCGTCCTTTATCCAATCCCCAAGTTAGTTTCTATAAATTCGTAGGCGATTTTCCTCAACTTCAAATTTAAGAAACGGTGACCCAGGGTTTTCCGGCCAACTTCCGGCCAATATCGCCGGAATTTGACCTCGACCCAAGAGGTAGAAATGATCCTCTTCTCGTGGGCTGTTCTCCAATGTAAGTTCTTTTTCCAAATTTTCAACTTTCAGTTTTGGGATTGATTCTTGATTTCGAATTTTATTGGATTTTGTGTGTGAATGTCGGAGATGAGACTTATGGTAATTTTTGTATCTGTGAAGTTGTTGAAATCCCTAACGATTACGTTCCCGGTTGATAGTTGAAGCATGTCTATAGCATGATGTGGGATTGAACTCTTTTGCGTAGGAATTATAAAATTCATGGAAAGAATGTGAAAATGTGGTAGGAAATTAGAAAATGGGGGTCAAAATCATGTTATGATGAAGGCAATAGCTTAGCCTGATTCCTTGTTTATTGTAGTTGTATTCAGCAGCTTACTTTGGTTTTAAATTGCCTGCTGTCCAGTAGATGTTTAAGACTTAATGTGGAGGAAATTCTCTCTTGAAGTTGCCTGAACTTACCTATTTGGTAGACAAGGCTACTCAAGGGAGAGCTAACCTGAGGTGTGAGTGGACATTTATTTAAGAAATGTTTTTTCTTTATCAAATATTAAGCATGCCTAGATAAATATGATTTCCGTTACGTTTAGTGAATGGTATTATTTAGCTTACATGTGTATGATCAATATTACATGTGTCATTCTACAAACATGTCATTCATCTTATACGTGTATGGTATTACAGAACTTTTCCAAATTATCATTATAAATGGGAATACAAGAACTCGAGCACAAATAAGCAAACACAAATGATGCGAATTTAGAAACAAACAGTAATAATCGCAATCGAAATTTATGGTACATAAAATAAGCAACATAAATAGTATTTTTGGAATGAAATTCTGGTGCAACAAATGTCCTTTTATTGGTTTGTACATATGATATAGTAAACGAATTGCTGTAGCCACAACGTTCTTTAAACTCTTTTCCTGCATGCATTGGAGAATATTAGAAATCACTGAAATTGGAATAAGTTGAAACGCTTATGCTTATTGTATATGTGTTTTCAAAAAAAGCGGGTTAAGGACTCAATTAATTTTTAAGCCACTTAGCACTACGGTTATGTTTATTGTATATGTGTTTCTGATAAAGGTTTCTCTTGAGGCAGTTGGTAATCTGAAATGCTTCTTCCTCACACCTGAACTGCTATTAGCTACCTCGGAAAAATGAATCAGGTAGCAGATTGTGGTTTTAGATCCAAACTGTTCAATTTTTCAAGTGCTATACATGTATGTATATATTATATAAAACATGGTAGAATATTTTTTGAGTGCTATATAGATAAGTTGGAGATGGAAACATGCTAACCTTTGTGCTTGATCAATCAATTGTGTTCGTCCTTTCTATTGGTTTCGTCATCTTCATCCTTGCCTTCGATTTTGTCATCGTCATCCTCAATGTCGATTTTGTCATCGTCATCCTCAATGTCGATTTTGTCATCGTCATCCTCAATGTCGATTTTGTCATCGTCATCCTCAATGTCGATTTTGTCATCGTCATCCTCAATGTCGATTTTGTCATCGTCATCCTCAATGTCGATTTCGTCATCTTCATCTTCATCCTCACTGTCGATTTTGTCATCTTCATCCTTACTGTATTAGAAATAAAAGACGATGTTTTCTTGAGATATAATTGACTTTTCTAAAATATATATATATATATATATATATATATTTAAATACACTTTAGTGTGCACATACTCGCATACACACACACATATACATTAATATATGTATGTTATTATATAGTCTTCTGTAAAAACTTTACAAATTCCACGTATACATCAAGATTTAAAAGTGAGATGTTAAAAAAAAAAAGAAATCATCTTTAAATACGCACACATAAGTGATTGAAAATTACAAACTTTAAAGTAAAGCATATCAGTGGTTGTATATTGATGATGCGGTCTTCCAGGTGGACACAAAAGTGATTGCAAATTAGAAACATTAATCTAAAGCATACCTTGTCCATTCCTGTCGAAATGCGGGTTTTACTTGCAATCGGGGATTATGCGTGTCAACAAGCTTAGAATCAAATGGCCTTAAGTCTTGCACATTAATAACCTTCAATAACTCCAAAGACGGCAACTTCAAAGTGTAAGCTTCGCCACAAAAATACTTGAGTTTTGGCAGGCTTTTAAGCTTGATGGACTTCACTTTAGGTAATGTAATTATTTCCCCTGCTTCTTCTTCTTCTGCGGCAACGATTTCTTCCATCTGCTCACACTTCTCAACTTGTATGTCCTCTACACTCACAAGAAGTTTGACTATGGACGAAGAAAACAAGTATTTCAACTGGTTGCACTTATAGACCCTCAGCGATTTCAAGTTTCCGAAGCTGCTTCCTGCGAACATCGGTTGTGAACTACCTGTCTCCCAAACATGCAGTAAACTTGCTAACGTATGTAACCACAAGGACCTCAATTTTTTGAATGCTTCAACGGAGTGACTACTTTCTTCATGCTTTGGTCCCTTGAGTTGGAAAATCACTTCCATTGAATTACATTCACTTACAGAAAGTTCTTCAAGATTATCATCATCATTTGAGTCCTCCAGATTAGTTGGTGTAACCTAGAAAATTAAACACGATCAACAAGACGATACAATACTAATTAAAAGTTGTAATTATAGAGGTTAATTGAACCTGATTTAAAAGCTTACCTCCTGATTAATTGGACGTGGCAATATTTCAATGGGGCGTTGGGCGTTTGGTCTTGAATATGGTATGCATCCACACCCATCAGGGCACCAATTTGATGAACGTGTTGGAGAAGTGCTGAAATCATGACTTGTTGAATCCTTCTCGGACTTATTCTCCAACTTCTTTCTTTGTGGAATTACAGCACCCAATGTCTTCAATTTTTCACATCCGTACACGTGCATATTTTTCGTGGATGACCATTGAAATGTAAATCCCTCTGGACAAAGACTTGTGAGACGAGGCAGGTATACTATTTCAAATATGTTCAGTTTGGGAGAGAAAATCATGTCTTTTGTCGCCTCTTCTTCATTTTCCTCTGTGATTCTGACTATAGTTTCCATGTCCCGACATCCACCTATCTTTACCTCTTCAAGATTCAAAAGTTCCGAGGCAATTAAATGCGAGAACACATAATTTATTCCAGAGCAAGATTTCAATTCCAAATATCTCAAATTTTGGAAACCCTGGAATCCAGACGGAATGTTTTTGCACAAGTGTGTAAACGAACATTTGGATATCTTCAACTTACGTAACTGGGGACATGTTGGAGCTGTCTGCCCATCCATAACTATATGGATTTTCAGATCAAATAGCACGCCTTCAAACTCCATATATTTCAATACTACCTCTTCTAAACTTGGAAACCATGAAATGCACTTTGATGGAAATATTGCTTTTTCAAATATTCCTGCAGATTGATGCTCAACCCTTGCCGTTGTTTCCTGAAAAAAGAAAAATCATTATCAGTTAAACAATTTCAAATTTCCACATATCATAGAGATTGGAGAGTGGGAAATACCTCTTGGTTGGAGTATAGCTTGTTAGCTTGGAAGAAACCAGCCAAACTCTGTAGATCCCGGAGATTCAAATTGGTTAATTTATGGAAAGTTATTGTATTTGCTTCCTCATGTTCCCTCCCCTGCTTTGATACAATTTCTTCCATTTGATCACATTTAAGAATTTGTAATTCCTGGAGTTGTACCAAGTTTTTCGCTACTGATAGTGAAAAGGCATATTTTAAGGCACCACAATATGACAATCGAAGGAATCTTAGGTTGGTCAAAAAGCTATTTGGAAGCTGACTAACTAATTGTCTGCGAGAAAAGAGTGCACTTGTTCCATTTACAAGATACTCGATATTTGGACAAATATCAAGATACAAAACTTTCAAATCTTGAAATCCCTCTTCGTCTAAATCACTGAGGGCAGAGAAATTGTTAACATAGTGCAAAGCCAATTTTTCAGATTTTTTCAACATAAGTCTAACTGCTTGACTCTCCATCAACTCCTTTGCATCACTGTCATCAATCACCAAACAATTTTGGAACGCATCACTTTCAGCAAATCGATTGATCATTTTCCTTGCCCGAGTTCGAAAGTATATATGGAATTTTATTGTTGGGTTTTTCAAGACTATGTCTTTTGGCAACAAGTGGATGACATTTATGGATAGAACCTTCAAATGATCAGACAGAGACATCACCTCAGAAATGCTTGCCATCCTCTTATCTTCTCTTCCTGTTCCAAGGTCCCATTTATCAAAGCTACCCATCATATACAACTCTTCAAGTCTACATAAGCCGGAGAAGATACCATGTGGAATCACCTCAAGATTCCTGCAGTTTGTCGTATCTAACAACCTCAACTGTTTAAGTCGTCCAATTTCGCTCGGCAACTCACGCATGTAATAACAATCCCGAAAGCTGAGTATTTCTAAATTCTCCAAAGGCCCAAAAACATCAGTAGACATGCCATCAAAGTCAGACCCATCTAGGATCAAGGTCCGCAGGTTCTTCGGTACTCCTGGTGATCTTGATGAGCCTAGGTCTTCCATTTCCATTCCCACCAAAGCTAAAACCTTCAGTTCTTTCATCGCCTTACAAATGATGTCCATGCTACCTTTTGAAAAACGTCCATTCATCGTCTGTAGAAGCTCAAGTTTTGGGCAACCAACTGGAATCTCCAGATCGCCAACCAGTGAAATTGTGTCATATGTAGCTAAATTTGGCCACTCTTTATTTTCAGTATGACTTCTTACCAGAAATCGATGTGGATCTCTTGAAGCAATCGATATGGCAACATCGCGAACTATGTCATGCATTTTTGTAGTCTCACTCCTGCCACCATCTAGTAACAAAAACCTTCTTTTTAGTTGGTCATCCAAAGAATGCACTCTATTTCTTGCATCTTCCAAAGTAACGATGCTACTAAAATATCCTCGACCCCACCCATATCGAACCAAATACTCAATTGGAATATTATAATCTTCCGGAAATAGACAACAAAGTAAAAGACATGACCTTGCTTCATCACTCTCCAAGCCATCATAACTCAATTTTATACTAGAATAAACTTTGCTGTCCACTCCATGGAGGTTCACTGGGTTAGAATTTCGCAGCTGATTAAGGGCATCTTCCCATTCATGCTTCTTTTTCTTTTCTAGGGCTTTTCCAACAGTTACAATAGCAATAGGTAAACCTCCACATTCCTTCACAACATCTTTTGCAGTGAAATGTAAATCAGGAGCATTGAAGGATTCACCTACCATTTCTCTAAAGAGCTCCTCTGATTCTTCTGTTGTTAAAATCCGGACTGCAATGATTTGTTGACTTCCCATCGCGTTGCAGACTTCGGAATCTCTTGATGTCAACAAAACTTTGCACCCTTTATGAGCATCTTCACAAGGGAGTCCTATAGCCTCAAAATCAGGCTCTGTCCAGACATCATCTAATACAATCAGGATCCTCTTTATTTTCATGAGTTTGTCATGCAGCTTTAGCGCTCTTCCGGACTCGGATTCCTCCTTCAATTCCAAACCTATTTGTGCTGCAATGTCCAACTGGATCATCTTAATACTTGGACTTTGAGACACAGTTGCCATTACAATATTATCAAACAGGTTCAGTTTTGCCAATCTTGTGATGATTTCTTTCGCCATTGTGGTTTTACCCACACCCCCCATTCCACAAATCCCGATCATTCGTACTTCTTCCCTCTTCAAAACCTCTATCACCTCATTCATGTGTGCCATTCTGGACTTAAAATCCTTAAAACCTTTCTTGAATTTTAACCATATCCCTCGTGGAGGTGCAGGATGGCCCACATTTTCAAATGCTCCTTCGTTTTGGAGCTGAAGAACATGTTGTGTAATCTTATAGGTTTTCCGATTCAAGCTCCATCGATTCATACATCGCCTTTTCTTGTTAATTTCATCCTCAAAATGTAACACTTTCTGGATCATGTCGTTCACATTCTTTAGCCAACTCTGAACATCAGGTTTGATGATTTCACCGTTCCTTTTGGCAGCATCTACCAATCGCTGCACTCCATCTCTCTTGTCAAAAAGCTTTTTTATCTCACCCCTAAGACTTTCAAGGTTGGAATGGTAATGAATCAAATAGCCAAACTCTGTTCCTATTGGTGTGACCAAGCATTCTCCAATTTTTGAGGCAATTGCAATTATAATTTCCATTTCCTTCTGAAATCAAAGACTATGGCTGGAGTGATCCTCTTTGCTGGTGTCTTTTGTATGTCTCGCGCTCAGTTCTCTAATGCCTAAACCAAAGAAGCACCCCAACACAACATTAATAATCATATATTTTTGTCCTGTTTAAATCTAAGTTGTATTATCACTTAATACTACAATCTAGTGGTATTTCTATTCATTTGTAAGTTAGAGATCTTAGGTTCGATTATCGTCAAAAACGAATTTGAACCACATTATTTTAAGCCTATTGTGAGGTTTACATGATATGGTAAGCAACGTGATATATAGGGTTTTTTCAGTTCTTTTATATCTTTATTTTTTTGTTTTATTGTTTTTTCATTCATTCTCATCCCATTACCATAGACCCCACACCTCCTCTAATTTTTTTATTTTTTTTATTTTTTAGCAGCCCTCATGGTTTGTCTCAAATTTCAAGCCTCCTTCCTCCATCACATGGACGAAGCTAATGAAGGCTCATTGGGGGCAGATACCCCCACTTAGGTAATTCGTTTGTTTAGTCGTAGACTACAATTAGATAATATACATTCCTTATTTTTAAAGAAAATATATGTATCTATATCATACGTTCATACCACTTAAACTTCATATCAAATATTATATGAGCAAAAGTGTTTTGTTCTGTTATTCAAACCGAAAAACCCCTCTCCTGCCTATCATATGTATTGATATTTTCTCATCACTTTGCCACTTTCCGCTACTATATTGAAATTTTTGTAACATTGAAATTGTGATACATCATCATTGAAATCTATCCCTATTATCATATTGGGTATAAACCATATAGTATAATAAGATTTTTTTTAGTTGTCTTTCGGGTCGTCCCCGCTAGAAAAAATTTCTAACTCCGTTCTGCTCCATCACCCACCATTTATGACAATTTTGAGCCCAGCCGGAAAACTTATCAATTTTTTTTTTTTCCTATCTTTATCTTTTGTTTGAGTTTTGTGTTGGTGTTTGTTAGTTTTCCTCTATGACTCATACCTTAAGGCTTAAGCATCACTTTGCTCAAACCTGTAACGATATGAAGCCTTGCTACAAAGTCCCACCTGATGCTTATCAAATTATCTCTTTGTTATCATTTCTTCGTAAAAAATTTTTTTTTTCTCCTAAAATTAAAATATAATTTTACGTTCAAGATAATGAAAATGATGGATGTTTATATTTTTTAAATTATTATGTCTACATTTTATTGAGAGAATTATTTTGTATACATTATTGATACGTTTATTACAGGTTTTCATACTTGATTTTGTTCATATTATCGATTGGTATGTTTAGTTTTAATTTTTGGTACGTTAAGTTTTGTATATATCGTTGATTGATAAGTTTAGTTTTAGTGTTGGTACGTTTAATTCTAGTTTATGGTACTTTTGATTTTAGTTTTGGTTTGTTTAATTTTAATTTTTGGTACATATCATTGGTTGATAACTTAATAATATGTCTCCTTGTTTTGGATTAATAAAAATAATAAATTTGGTTTGAAAAAGGCTAGATTTCGGAGCAACTTTTTGAATAAATTGGTGGATCAAAGACACTTCATGTAATTTTGAATTTTGAAAAAAGGACATTTTAGAAAACGTGGCACCAAAATTGTAGAAAATAGTTTAATAAAAAGTCTAAATGCTAGGGATGTTGCACCTAGATCAAAATTCCCCTTACTTATATCTATATATTTGAAATAATTGTAAATTAAATCTTGAACCAAATCACATTCTTTATCTTTAAGTAGGTAATATAATTTCCCCATACCTATATGTGAAATATAGGTAAAATAAGTCTTGAACCAATTCACATCCATTTTGTTGTAGGTAAGTTATTTTGCATGTATTATTACATACATTAACCGCATTTTATTGTTATTATATATGTGTGGTAAAATAATTTACCTATATTTATATAGAATATAATTAAATAATTTAAAAAAAAAAACAACAACGTTCTTATATTTTGTTGGTAACTAATGCTCATATATTTTGAAAACGGAAAAACTAAACCCAAAAAAAAAAAAAAAATCCTAATTTACGCAAATTTGAAAAGCAACTAAGGAATTTAAAAAGGAAAAAAATAAAACAAATGAAAACCCTAGCGTCATATCCTTTTGTTATTAATATGCAATGAAATCATGATTTTAAAATTTGTTTTTAATCTGACATAAGTTACTAGGGGTATTTTGGGCATCTAAAAATAGAAAATTGTGTAAAGTCAAAACCTAATCAATAAAATTGTTGAGCTGGAGCCTAGTCATAGTGTTGGAGCTTAGCTGAAATACAATATTCGACGGGCACTAGAATATAAAACTAACACTTTTGTTTCTTGGTCAAGTAGGGTAAAAACAAACGCATGAAACAACAAATATTGGAAAGAAATAGAGTTTTCGAGAAGTACATACATAGCTGTATCGTGAACCAATGCAATGCAATTATCCAGCAGAGTAAAATTGAAATTCTGAAATTTATGCCTTGTTCAACAACAAATCATATATTTAGTACTGGTAGTGGTGCTTCACGAATTTGCTAGAAAATTTGAATGTTGAATGTTAGCATGCACAAGGAGGACAGACCATGCACAACACTGCAAATATATGAGTAGATAACTTCTATGGGGAAGAGTTAATAGGAGCTTTCTAACAATATAAACAGGAGAAGCAAAAAAAATATATACATAAAGTCATTGAGTTTTTGTAAGGAAAATATACTATGATGAGTTTTAGTTAAAGGAAATTGAATTTCAAGGGGTAAAGTCATATTTTCAGTTGATGGTTTCAATGCATGTGTATATTTATTTACTCATTATTAATTTACAATATGCAAATTTCGAAGAGTTTATAATTCACCACCATATAGTAACGCGATTTTGAACTTTTTGTATTGCAATGAGAAAAATAAAAATTCATTATAAGGGGGGATTAGCTCAATTTCAGTTGACATGGATGAACATCAAAACACAATAACATATAGTACAAACACCTAAAACAACAAATATTGAAAAGAAATGGAGTTTCTAAGAAGTACATACGTACCTGTATCGTAAATCAACCCTACTATCCACTAGAGAAAAAATGAAATTCTGAAATCTATGTCTTGTTCAACAACAATATGTCTAGTACTGGACCTGGTGCTTCACGAATTTTCTAGAAAATATAATGTAAAATCAACACTTTCGTTTCTTAACACACATGGGTAACACTAAACACCTAAGACAACAAATCTTAAAAAGAAATGGAGTTTCCAATATGTACATGCTTACCTGTATTGTAAATCAACCCAATGCAACAGTTTGGCAAAGTAGAAGTGAAATTCTGAAATCTATGCCTTATTCAACAACTCATGTGTCTGGTACTGGTGTTGGTGTTTCACGAATTTGCTAGAAAATATGAATGTTGAATGGTATCATGCACAAGAAGGACAGATTATGCTACCTCAGCAATGCAAATATATGAGCAGATAATTTCAATGGGGAAGGGTTGATAAGAGTTTTCTACCAATATAAATAGAGAAGCAAACAAATACATTTAACGAGCATTACCTCAAGAGGAGGTGATTCTAAAGTAAGGTATTTTTATACTCTTACAACAAGAAAAAGACAAAGTGAAAGGAATGGGGGTACATTGCTTTCGAACCCATTTTGTATTCTCTTTAACAAGAAAAAAAAAAGTGAAAAAGATTTGGATGTTTTGCTTACGAACCATTGGGTATTCTCTTTCACAAGAAAAGGATAAAGTGAAAGAAAATTGGATGTATTGCTTCCCAACCCCAACTTCTCAAAGGACAATACATGGCTTGAGCCATCCTCTTCGTGGCATCACAATATTTCACAGTACAAACGTCACAATTAGAATTGGTATTCTATTTTGAACAATAGTAGGCTTACTATTAGTCGTAATGTATGAATTTTGTACAGATTTGTTTAAAAATGTTTTTAAATTACTGAAAACGTTTTTAGTAAAAATGTTTTTTTTCTTCCAATTACAATTAAATGAAATATGGACCAGCTTAATCCTATTAACCCATTTCCCAACAAGGTATCATAAGCTATCAGAACGTCCACCTGCAAGGCACATCTTGGAAGACCATTATTTCTACGGTAATTTTTAAGAAACTCCTTCAAAAGCATAATATTATCTCCAATTCGCCTGCCTGCGAAGAAAGCAAATTAAGAGTTGCTCACAATAGAGGGAAGGACATCCTTGATCCGATTGGCAAGAAACTTTGCAATAATTTTGTAAATAGCATAAAGAGGAATTTGTAACAATAGTTTCTCAACTTTTACTAAATTGAAACAATGGTTCCTTAACTAAAAATATGTGACCATTGGTCCCTTAACTAAAAATACCCAATTGTTACAATGGTCGTAAATTTTTAGTTGAGAGACGAATACTCTAATTGAGTTAACATTGATAGACCATTGTTACAATTTTGTTGACAAAATGAGGCCGAGGGTTACAGAAGGTAGCAGTAACAAGTAGAGATTATGGTCTTTTCTTTCTGCAGTGAAGAACGATTACTCATGATTTGTCTGCATAAGTGATCTCTTGTTTCTATATGTCGGTGTTGTCTAGGGCTATGTAAGATGTAGTTCGTTTGTTTGGACTTCTTTTATTGAATATTCCAAACCCTTGACCCAAAAAAAAAAAAAAAATTCTAAGAAATGTGAGTAAGGAAGATATTCACTCGTGAAATTACGCGTTATCAAAAGCCTTTGTACTAAGATTCAACCTAAATTATGCGTTATCCCTATGTTAATAGAATGGACGTACCTTTACGTGTGAGTTAAAAATTGCATTTCTTTCCTTTCTTCTGTTCATCGTCTCTTTTCCCCCTCCCTCTCTGCAACTATTTTCCACCGCCATCTTAAGGCCATAAAGAAAAATCCTAAACTAGCAAATCTAAAAGTCATTTCTATAAAATCTCAATTGTACTCCATGGGTCTTGCCTTTTGCTGCCTATAAATCCTTTACCAGTTTTTCTAAATTTTATGTCATTTCTTTTGTTCTATCAACAAAAAGAAATATATACTAGTGTTTTTGTGAATGTTAATTTCCTTCAAATTATCCACAAAAGGCCTGAAATTTATTTTTTCCATCAACGCCTTAATCAAAGCCCTAACAAAAATTTACTGCCAATTAAAAATTTAAAAGTTAAGAAAATTCCAGAGAAAGAGACCTTATCTCTTAGAAGCTTGGTTAAAACTTTTCATTCAAACTGATCCAGTCAGAGCTTTAAACTCTAAAAACTCACAAAATGTTTTGAAGATGGAAAGTGAGACAGAGGAGAGAGAAGACGGAATGGAGATATAGAGAGACGAAGAGGGAGAAGTGAGAAAGGGGCTTGCTATTGCACCGCGTGAAAAATATCGAGTGAAATGACAAGTAACAAAAAAATAACATGACTTTCACATTCAAATATGAAACCTAACAACCTTAACCAAAAAGTTAAAATCTAATTTTTTTTACAACGAAAGCTGTCTTTCGATTATTCTATTACTTGAAAATTTTATTATTTTAAAACACATAAATCAAAATTAGTATCAAATTAACTACGCACAAGTCATTATTTTAAAAATAATTAATATTTAGTATTACGATTTATTGATATTTCTCTTAATCTTCTCTTCTTCAGCCCCAAAACATCCCCGAAACGTCCACCTTGAACACATGGGCTTCGGGGGTCTCCTTCCAGTCGACCCTAGTGTTCACAAAAGCCAAATTTTTCCGAGAAAATTCAGAGAATGCGAAGAGTGATGAGGAGGAAGGGAATGGGAAATCCTTGAAATGGTCCCATAAGTTGAGGGAGAATAGGTCAAAGCAGCTGATGCCTCGTCGAGCGTTGGGGATAAGCGATATTTTGATAAAAACTTGAGTGGTTTTGTTTGGATGCTGAGAAAAACCTAGAGAATCAAATTGGAGCCGGCAGAGAGAGTTTTTGCTTTGCTTCACTGGTTGGTGAAGGGAGTGAGTTAGTGGCGTATTTATAAGGAGTCAAAGACGTTTCTGGAAAATTCCAAGTGCCGAAAAACTAGAATGGGCATGCAACCCAGCAGCACAAGGAAGAAAAAACTGAAGTTGCTAGAAACTTACTGAATGAAAAAGAATTGGGCTTCGACCAAAAAAAGAAAAAAAAAGAAATTGGGTTAGAAGATGGGAAAGAATTCCACCAACCTATATTTACTGCACGTGAGGGCGTGTGGAAGTTTTTTTCTTTTTTTCAATTAGGCCTATTTGATCAACCATTGGTAATTGGTTAGGTATAGGCTAGAACTGAAATTTTTTATTTTTTTATTTTTTTTAACAAAAGTGGCAAAAGAATTGATATCTAAAAAAGGGACAAACGTAGATAATATCGTTTGTTAAAAAAAAAAAAAGATGAAACCCGTCACTTAGTACTATAATCTAGTAGTAGTATTCCCTTCATTGGTAAGTAAGAAGTTTTAGGTTCAATTTTCGTCGAATACGAATTTGAACTGCATACTTGCTGACCACCGAGAGAAAGCAGCCGGGCCATTCTCAAGTCGGTAGAACTTCCATTTTTCATTTTCATCCATTTAGATCATTTTCATTTTCAATTATATAAAATTGAAACTTATGAGTTATCTGATGTGTTGGAGGTTTTTAATTGTGTAGATTCAAAGGGACAAAGAGAGTGGTTATGGAGTAGGCGCTCCAAACTATCCTCAAAATGGTCCCTATGGTGGCTCTGCAGCAGGTCGGGGCTCAAACATGATAGGTGGAAATTGCAATCAACAGTATGGTTGGCAGTAGTAAACGTTTGATCTGATCATTATAATTCATCACGATATGCACCTCCTTGGTCCAAGGGACATGAGCTCGATGGTTTAGCTAGTGTGATCCCAAGGGTTCGAGTAGAAGCATCGCTGCTAAATAATTTTTACAGGATGTGAATGAGATTGATTCATATGCAAAATATTCTCAAACTAGTGTTACGTTCTAACTTCTACCCATTAATCTGTTACTTTGAAAAAATATGCAGAAAAACGGGAAGTTGCCATATGAGTTGTGTTTGGTTTACTTCTGCAAATATTTTTTTTAAAAAAAAATTATAAAAATTAAAAGGAAAAATTGTTAACGGGTGACCAACCTATTAGCTTTACGGGTTGGTTTGGATGACCCGTTAACTTAACAAATCAGGTTAAAATCGATCCAAATCCAATAAAACTTATTGATTTACATATTTAATTCATTTATTTGGTGTAGATAATATTATGTATTCAAAAGAACAAAAAAAAATAAAACAAAAAAAAACAAAACCAAAATTCTCCACTACCTCCCTTACCCTCTTTCCCTATTTCCTTTCAAAGCTGCAACAACGGGAGCCCATTAAAGAACAGGCCGAAAACAGCCGACGCAACAGCGCCGTCGTCCACCGGTCACCAACGGCCGTCAAATTACATATCCAGACTCCTCTTTCCGTCCTCTTTCCAACCCCCAAGTTAGTTTCTAAAAATGTAAAAATGTGGTAGGAAATTAGAAAATGGGGGCCAAAATCATGTTGCGATGAAGGCAGTTGCGTAGCCTGGTTCCTTGTTTATTCTAGTTGTATACAGCAGCTAACTTTGGTTTGAATTGCCTTCTGTTCAGTACATGTTTAAGACTGGATGTGGATGAAATTTTGTTGCCGCTGTATGCATGCGTGTGTGGGTAATTGAGATTCGACTTTCCTAGTTAGGGCTGGTTTGGTATTGCTGTGCTTTGAAAAAAAGCTGCTTCTGCTGTGCTGTGAGAATAAGCAGCTGTGAAATAAAGCAGCAGAGTGTGGTAAACTTTTTTGTAAAAGTGCTTTTGAAAAAAAAAAAGCAGTATTAGAGTGTTTGGTAAACTTTTATGTAAAACAGATGTGAAAAAAAGCCGATTTTTCAAAGCTGGGTTTTGCAGCTTCTTGTTTTTGGCTTTTTTTTTCATCCAAAACTGTGAAAAAAAGCTGAAACTGAGTGTTTACCAAACACAAAAACAGCTCCCAGCTTTTTTTGATAGCAGCTTTTTTCAGAATCACCTCATTACCAAACCAGGTCTTAGTCTTGTGCTTTTTGCTGTTGATAAGGTCCTGAGGTGTATGGGTGTGTTGGAGATTCCTTGTTTGTTTATAATGCTTGTAGTTTGAGTGATTGCAAGTTTGAGTAGTGTAAAGTTTTTCTTGTTTAATCACAAGAAGTTTGACTATGGACGATGAAAACAAGTATTTCAACTGATTGCAATAATAGACCCGCAGCGATTTCAAGTTTCCGAAGCTGCTTCCTGTCAACATCGGTTGTGAACTACCCGTCTCCCAAACACGCGTTAAACTTGGCAGCTTCTGTAACTCAAAGGACCTCAATTTATTGAATGCTTCAACGGAGTGACTACTTTCTTCATGCTTCGATCCCTTTAGTTGGAAAATCACTTCCATTAAATTACAGTCACTTACAGTAAGATTCCATGGAACTATAAAGTTTAAGGATAGTATGATAATTTTGTATTACCACGGAAAATCACTTCCATTGAATTACAGTCACTTACAGTAAGATTCCACGGAACTATAAATGAAGATTTCCCGGAACTATAAAGTTTAAGGATAGTATGATAATTTTGTATTACCATGGCAGATTACCTTATGCTGCCAGATTACCTTTATTTTTCATTTTCTATTTCAAATTATTTTATTTCTTTCCTTTTTATTTTCTCTTTTTATTTAGATGTGTATTAAAAGTGGCAAAAAATTAATGTATTCCTTTTTATTTGTAATTTGTAAGTGAGAGATTTTATGTTCAATTATTATTAAAGACGAATTTAAACTATGTTACTTCTATTCATTATTATCATCAAAACGTGTTCCGTCCTATCTCATGAACCAAACGCAATTTTAGTGATAAATAATAGAGTTTATTCCATAAACTAAATGTATAAAAAAATTAAGATAAAAAAAGTGGGAGAAACCATTTTCTCTCCTCCTCGGGTGTCCTTTCTCCTCTTTTGCGCTGCAACAGAAGCCCCATTAAACAGCAAGCCGACGAGTGCCGAGTGCCGACACAAAAGCTCTGTTGTCCACGGGTCACCAAAGGCTCTCAAACTACACATCCAGAATGCTCTTGTCGTCCTTCATCCAATCCCCAAATTAGTTTCTATAAATTCATAGGCGATTTTCCTCAATTTCTAATTTAAGAAACGGTGACCAAAACCGGCCAACTTCCGGTCAATATCACCGGAATTGGACCTCGACCCAAGAGGTAGAAATGATCCTCTTCTCGTGGGCTGTTCTCCAATGTAAGTTCTTTTTCCAAATTTTCAACTTTCAGTTTTGGGATTGATTCTTGATTTCGAATTTTATTCGATTTTGTGTGTGAATGTCGGAGATGAGACTTATGTTAATTATTGTATCTGTGAAGTTGTTGAAACCCCTAACGATTACGTTCTCGGTTGAAGCATGTCTATAACATGGTGTAGGCTTGAACTCTGTAGAACCTTGTATTGTTGTGAATAGGAATTATAAAATTATAAAATTATAAAATTCATAGGAATTTTATAATTCATTGGAACACTTTTGCATAGGAATTATAAAATTCATGGAAAGAATGTGAAAATGTGGTACGGAATTAGAAAATGGGGGCCAAAATCATGTTATGAAGAAGGCAATAGCTTAGCCTGATTCCTTGTTTACTGTAGTTGTCCAGTAGATGTTTAAGACTTCATGTGGAGGAAATTATCTCTTGAAGTTGCTTGAACTTACGTATTTGGTAGACAAGGCTCCTCATGGGAGAGCTAGCCTGAGGTGTGAGTGGACATTTATTTAAGAAATGTTTTTTTCTTTATCAAATATTAAGCATGCCTAGATAATATGATTTCTGTTATGTTTAGGGGAAAATCAGATTTTATGAATTAATATCAGACCTTATAGTGAATGATCATATTATTCAGCTTACATTAGTTGTGGCCAGCTAGTGTATCATAATATTATTTAGCTTACATGTGTATGATCAATATTACATGTGTCATTCTACAAACATGTCATTCATCTTTTACGTGTATGGTATTACAAAACTTTTAGCATTATAAATTGAAATGCAAATATTGGTAGCTAGAGACAACTTTTCCAAATTATCATAACAAATAAGCAAACTCTAATTTAGAACAAACAGTAATAATCACAATCGAAATTTATAATACATAAAATAAGCAACATAAATAGTATTTTTGGAATGAAATTCTAGTGCAACAAATGACCTTTTATTGGCTTGTACATATGATATGGAAACGAATTGCTGAAGCCACAACGTTCTGTAAACTCTTGTCCTGCATGCATTGGAGAATATTAGAAATCACTGAAGTGGGAATAAGTTGAAATGGTAATGCTTATTGTATATGTGTTTCAGAAAATAGCGGTTTAAGGACAAAATTAATTTTCAAGTCACTTAGCACTACAGTTATGTTTATTGTATATGTGTTTCTCAAAACGGTTATGCTTGTTGTAGATCAGGTGAGACATGCTAACTGAAAAGGGTTATTCCAATATTATTGTGGAATCTGATAAAGGTTTCTTGAGGCAGTTGCTGATCCGAAAAGCTTCTTCCATCTTAACTGCTATTGGGTGTAAAACTTTTATTGGGCTTACATCTATATAGGAGTCCTAATTGATTAAGGATAAAAGAAAGGAAGTAATATTTGATTATTCCGGATTACTTATGGTGAAGTATAGCAATAATTTTTGGGAATATCAATCCTATTAGTTCATGGATTTTAGAGGTGCTAAAGATCTGTATTAGGGTTTTCTTTATGGGCGAGAAACCTAATACTCTCACCTATAAATATAAGGCTTAGGTCCCACTTTTATACACATTATTCTAGCACAAAACACTACCCCATATAGGAGTGCATAAGGCGTGTAGAGAGAGATGAAGATCTTTGCTTGTTCGTTGCTAATCATGGTTCAATCTTGTTCATATCAATGGCTTCTCAAGGTTAGTACTTGCATATTATAGATCGACTTGCATTGGGTACCTCAAAAAAATCAATTAGGTAGCAGAATGTGGTTTGACGATCCTTATTGTTCAATTTTTTAAGTACTATCCATGTATGTATATATTCTATAAAACATGGTAGAATAATTTTTTGACTACTTTATAGATAATTTCATCAGTTTTTACTAAACCCAGAAGAAGTTGGAGATGGAAACATGACCTTTGTTCTTGATCAATCAATTGTGTTAGACATCTTCATCCACGTCATCTTCATTTTCATCGTCACTGTACAATTTGTCATCGTTATCCTTCATGTTTTAGAAATAAAAGACATGTTTTCTTGAGATAGTATTGAGTTTTAAAAAATAAAATTACTTAAATACACTTTAGTGTGAACATATGCACATTTATATGGTATTTGACTAAATTTTGAGAAATCTTTTGTCAAACTAAATATGAACTGTTGAGTATGCTTTCCCTAAATTTGTAGTAAAAATTTTGGTGGTGTTTGCCATATTATGCTTGTAGCTCAAAACCAGAACGTATATGTTGGTTGAATAAATAGAAATTTAAGATTGAGCATATATAGCTCACTGACTGTAAATTATCAACCTAGCTATTCTTCAGTCCTTCGTAAAAACATTAAGGATCGAAAGAGTTGGAACAAACAACTTGAAGCATTACTGTTTAGGAGAAAATCTTTGTTGGTTTAGTGGTTGTATATTGATGATGCGGTCTTCCAGGTGGACACAAAAGTGATTGCAAATTACAAACATTAATCTAAAGCATACCTTGTCCATTCCTGTCGAAATGCGGGTTTTACTTGCAATCGGGGATTATGCGTGTCAACAAGCTTAGAATCAAATGGCCTTAAGTCTTGCACATTAATAACCTTCAATAACTCCAAAGACGGCAACTTCAAAGTGTAAGCTTCGCCACAAAAATACTTGAGTTTTGGCAGACTTTTAAGCTTGATGGACTTCACTTTAGGTAATGTAATTATTTCAGCTGTTTCTTCTTCTGCGGCAACGATTTCTTCCATCTGCTCACAGTTCGTAACTTTTATGTCCTCTACACTCACAAGGAGTTTGACTATGGACGACGAAAACAAGTATTTCAACTGGTTGCAACGATAGACCCTCAACCATTTCAAGTTTCCGAAGCTGCTTCCTGCGAACATCGGTTGTGAACTACCCGTCTCCCAAACACGCGTTAAACTTGGCGACGTATCTAACCGCAAGGACCTCAATTTTTTGAATGCTTCAACGGAGTGACTACTTTCTTCATGCTTTGGTCCCTTGAGTTGGAAAATCACTTCCATTGAATTACAGTCAATTACACAAAGATTTTCAAGATTATCATCATCATTTGAGTCCTCCAGATTAGTTGGTGTAACCTAAAAAATTAAACACGATCAACAAGACGATACAATACTAATTAAAAGTTGTAATTATAGAGGTTAATTGAACCTGATTTAAAAGCTTACCTCCTGATTAATTGGACGTGGCAATATTTCAATGGGGCGTTGGGCGTTTCGTCTTGAATATGGTATGCATCCACATCCATCAGTGCTGAAATCATGACTTGTTGAGTCCTTCTCAGACTTATTCTCCAACTTCTTTCTTTGTGGAATTACAGCACCCAATGTCTTCAATTTTTGACATCCGTACACGTGCATATTTTTCGTGGATGACCATTGAAATGTAGATTCCGCTGGACAAAAACTTGAGAGACGACGCAGGTCTACTAGTTTAAATCTGTTCAGTCTGGGAAACAAAATCATGTATTTTGTCGCCTCCTCTTCATTTTCCTCTCTGATTCTGACTATAGTTTCCATGGCCCGACATTCAGATATATCTACCTCTTCAAGATTCAAAAGTTCTGAGGCAATTAAATGCGAGAACACATAATCTAGACCAGAACATCCACTCACATACAAATATCTCAAATTTTGGAAGCCCTGGAATCCAGACGGAATGTTTTTCCACAAGTGTGTAAACTTACACCTGGATATCTCCAACTTACGTAACTGGGGAAATGTTCGAGATGTCTGCCCATCCATAACTATATGGATTTTCAGATCAAATAGCATGCCTTCAAACTTCATATATGTCAATCGTACCTCTTCTAAACTTGGAAACCATGAAATGCACTTTGATGGAAATATTGCTTTTTCAAATATTCCTGCAGATTGATGCTCAACCCTTGCCGTTGTTTCCTGAAAAAGAAAAATCATTATCAGTTAAAGAAAAATTATGCACCAACTTAAGCATTTCGTAAGAATTTCAAATTTCCACATATCGGCTGCCTCCTCTATCATAAAGATTGGAGAGTGGGACATACCTCTTGGTTGGAGTATAGCTTGTTAGCTTGGAAGAAACCAACCAAACTCCGTAGACTCCAGAGATTCAAATTGGTTAATTTATGGAAAGATATCATATCGGCTTCCTCATCGTGTTCCCTCCCCTGCTTCGACACAATTTCTTCCATTTGATCACATCCACCAATATCTAATTCCTCGAGTTGTACCAAGTTTCTTACTACTGATAGTGAAAAGGCATACTTTAAGACACCACAACTTGACAATCGAAGGAATCTTAGGTTGGTCAAAAAGCTATTCGGAAGCTGACTAGCTGATTGTATGCGAGGAAAGAGTGCACTTGTTCCATTTACAAGATACTCGATATTTGGACAATGATCAAGATACAAAACTTTCAGATCTTGAAATTTCTCTTCGTCTAAATCAGTGAGGGCAGATAAATTCTTAAGATTGCGCAAAGCCAATTTTTTAGATTTTTTCAACATAAGTCTAACTGCTTGACTCTCCATCAACTCCCTTGCATCACTTTCATCAATCATCAAACAATTTTCGAACGCATAAGTTGTCGTCATCAACTTCCTTGCATCACTTTCAGCACGTCTATGGATCATCTCCCAAAATGCCGTTGCCCCAGTTCCAAAGTATGCATGGAATTTTATTGTTGGGCTTTTCAAGACTATGTCTTTTGGCAACAAGTGGATGACACTGGGTATCTGTATGGATAGAACCTTCAAATGAAGAGACAGAGACATCACCTCAGAAATGCTTGCCATCCCCTTTTCTTCTCTTCCTGTTCCAATTTCCCATTTATCAAAGCTTCCAAACATATACAACTCTTCAAGTCTACATAAGCTGGAGAAGATACCATGTGGAATCACCTCAAGATTCCTGCAGTTTGTCGTATCTAACAACCTCAACCGTTTAAGTCGTCCAATTTCGCTCGGCAACTCACACATGTAATAACAATCCCGAAAGCTGAGGATTTCTAAATTTTCCAAAGGCCCAATAACATCAGTAGACATGCCATCAAAGTCTGACCCATCTAGGATCAAGGTCCGCAGGTTCTTCAGTACTCCTGGTGATCTTGATGAGCCTAGGTCTTCCATTTCCATTCCCACCAAAGCTAAAACCTTTAGTTCTTTCATCGCATTACAAATGATGTCCATGTTACCTTTTGAAAAACGTCCTTTCATCGTCTGTAGAAGCTCAAGTTTTGGGCAACCAACTGGAATCTCTAGATAGCCAACCAGTGAGATTGTGTCATATGTAGCTAAATTTGGCCACTCTTTATTTTCAGCATGACTTCTTACCAGAAATCGATGTGGATCTCTAGAAGCAATCGATATGGCAACATCGCGAACTATGTCATGCATTTTTGTAGTCTCACTCCTGCCACCATCTAGTAACAAAAACCTTCTTTTTAGTTGGTCAACCAAAGAATGCACTCTATTTCTTGCATCTTCCAAAGTAACTATGCTGCTAAAATATCCTCGACCCCACCCATATCGAACCAAATACTCTATTGGAATATCATAATCTTCTGGAAATAAACAACAAAGTAAAAAACATGACTTTGCTTCATCACTTTCCAAGCCATCATAACTCAATTTTATGCTAGAATAAACTTTGTTGTCCAGTCCAGGGATGTTCACTGGGGTAGAATTTCGCAGCTGATTAAGGGCATCATCCCATTCATGCTTCCTTCTCTTTTCCAGTGCTTTTCCAACAGTTACAATAGCAATGGGTAAACGTCCACATTCTTTCATGACCTCTTCTGCAGTGGAACGTAAATTGGGATCATTGAAGGATGCAGCCACCATTTCTCGAAAGAGCTCCCGTGATTCTTCTGTTGTTAAAGTTGGCACTGCAATAATTAGTTGAATTCCCATCCTGTTGCAGACTTCCTTATCTCGTGATGTCAACAAGACTCTGCACCCTTTATGAGCATCTCCAGAAGGGAGTCCAATAGCCTCAAAATTAGGCTCTGTCCAGACATCATCTAATACAATCAGGATCCTTTTTATTTCCATGAGTCTCCCACGTAGCCTTCGTGCTCTTCCGGACTCGGATTCCTCTTCAAATTTCAATTCTATTCCGTCTGCAATTTCTGACTGGATCGTCCTAATACTTGGACTTTGAGACACAGTTGCCATCACAATTTTATCAAACAGTTTCAGTTTTTCCAATCTTGTGATGATTTCTTTTACCATTGTGGTTTTACCCACACCCCCCATTCCACAAATCCCGATCATTCGTACTTCTTCCCTCTTCAAACCCTCCATCACCTCATTCATGTTTGCCATTCTGGACTTAAAATCCTTAAAACCTTTTTCGAATGTTGACCATATCTCTGGTGGAGGTGCAGGATGCACATTTTCAAATTTGCCTTCGTTTTGGAGCTGAAGAACATCTTGTTTAATCTTATAGGCTTTCCGACTCAAGTTCCATCGATACATACATCGCCTTTTCTTATTAATTTCATCCTCAAAATGCGACACTTTTTGGATCATGTCGTTCACATTCTTTAGCCAACTCTGAACATCGGGTTTGATATTTTCACCGTTCCTTTGGGCAGCATCTACCCATCTTTGCACTCCATCTTTCCTGTCAAAAAGCTTTTTTATCTCACCCTTAAGACTTTCAAGGTTGGAATGGTAATTAACCGAATAGTCAAACTCTCTTCCTAATGGTGTGACCAAGGACTCTCCAATTTTTGAGGCAATTGCAATTATAATTTCCATGTCCTTCTGAAATCAAAGACTACGGCTGGAATGCTCCTCTTTGTTGCTGGCTTTTGTAAGTCTCGCGCTCAGTGCTCTAATGCCTAAACCAAAGAAGCACCCCGACACAACATCAATAATCATTATTTTTGTCTTCTTTAAATCTAAATTGTATTATCACTTAGTACTACGGTTTAGTGATATTTCTATTCACTTGTAAGTTAAAGGTCTTAGGTTCGATTCTCGTTTTTTAGCGAATTTGAATCACATTATTGCAAGACTTTACACGATACGGTAAGCAATGTGATATATCGGGATTTTTTCAGTTTTTTTATTTCTTTATATTTTGTTTTATTGTTTTTTCATTCATCCTCATCCCATTACCAAAGACCTCACACCTCCTCTACGTTTTTTTTTTTTTTTTAAATTATTTTTTTTCCAGCAGCCCTCATGGTTCGTTTCAAATTTCAAGCCTCCTTCCTCCATCAACCACTGTTTATGACAGTTCTGAGAGCAGCTAGAAAACTTATCAATTTTTTTCTCTATCTTTATCTTTTGTTTGAGTTTTGTGTTGATCTTTGTTAGTTTTCCTCTATGACTCATACCTTAAGGCTTAAGTATCACTTAGCTCAAACCCGTGACGATGAAGCTTGCTGCAAAGTCCCGCCTGATGCTTACCAAATTATATCTTTGTTATAATTTCTTCATTCAAAATATTTATCAAATTATCTCTTTGTTATCTTCGTAAAAAATATTTTTTTCTCGTAAAATTAAAATATAATTTTACCGTCAAGATAATGAAAATGGTGGATGTTTATATTTTTAAAATTATTATGTCTACATTTTATTGAGAGAATTATTTTGTATATATGGTTGATTGGTACATTTAGTTTTAGTGTTGGTACATTTAATTCTAGTTTATGGTACGTTTGATTTTAGTTTTGGTTCGTTTAATTTTAATTTTTGGTACATATCACATATCATTGGTTGATAACTTAATATTATGTCTCTTGTTTTGGATTAATAAAAATAATAAATTTGGTTTGATGAAGGCTAGATTACGGAGCCACTTTTTGAATAAATTGGTGGATCAATGGCACTTCATGTAATTTTGAATTTCAAAAAGAGGACATTTTAGAAAACATGGCCCTAAAATTGTAGAAAATAGTTTAATAAAAAGTCTAAATGCTAGGGATGTTGCAACTAGATCAAAATTCCCCTTACTTATATCTATATATTTGAAATAATTGTAAATTAAATCTTGAACCAAATCACATTCTTTATCTTTAAGTAGGTACTTTAATCTACATAAAATAATTTCCGCATACCTATATGTGAAATATAGGTAAAATAAATCTTGAACCAAATCAAATCCTTTATGTTGTAGGTAAAATATTTTGCATGTATTATTGCATATACATTAATCATATTTTATTTTTGTTATATATGTGTAGTAAAATAATTTACCCATATTTATATAGAATATAATTAAATAATTTTGAAAAAAAAAATAACATTCTTATATTTTGTTGGTAACTAATGCTCACATATTTTGAAAACGGAAAAACTAAACCAAAAAAAAAAAAAAATCCTAATTTATTCAACTTTGAAAAGCAACTAAGGAATTTAAAAAGGAAAAAAAAAAAAACAAATGAAAACCTAGAATCATATACTTTTATTATTAATATGCAATGAAATCATGATATTAAATTTTTTTTTGATCTGACATAAGTTACTAGGGGTATTTTAGGCATCTAAAAATACAAAATTGTGTGAAGTCAAAACCTAATCAATAAAATTGTTGACCTGGAGCCTGAAATAGAATATCCGACAGGCACTAGAATGTAAAACTAACACTTTTATTTCTTGGTCAGGTAGGATAAAAACAAACGCCTAAAACAACAAATATTGGACAGAAATAGAGTTTTCGAGAAGTACGTACATACCTGTATCGTAAATCAACGCAATGCAACTGTCCGACAAAGCAATGAGATTGTCCGGCAGAGTAAAATTGAAATTTTGAAATCTATGCCTTGTTCAACAACAAATCATATGTCTGTACTGGTAGTGGTGCTTCACGAATTTGCAAGAAAATTTGAATGTTAGCACGCACAAGGAGGGCGGATTATGCACAGCAATGCAAATATATGAACATATAACTTCAATGGGGAAAAGTTAATAAGAGTTTTCTAACAATATAAATAGGAGAAGCAAAAAAATATATATGTAAAGTAACTGAGTTTTTGTTAGGCAAATATACTACAGTGAGTTTTAGTTAAAGAAAATTGAATTTCAAGGGGTAAAGTCATATTTTCAATTGATGGTTTCAGTGCATGTGTATATTTATTTACTCATTATTATTTTACAGCATGCAAGTTTTGAATAGTTTACAGTTCAGCACCATAGAGTAGATGCGATTTCAAACTTTTTGTATTGAGTGAGAAAAATAAAAATTCGATTATAAGGGGGGATTAGCTCAATTTCAGTTGATGTGGATGAACATCAAAACACAAAAACATATAGCACAAACACCTAAAACAACAAATATTGAAAAGAAATGGAGTTTCTAAGAAGTACATACATACATGTATTGTAAATCAACCCAATGTAACCATCTGATAGAGAAAAAATGAAATTCTGAAATCTATGCCTTGTTCAACAACAGTATGTCTGGTACTAGACCTGGTGCTTCACGAATTTGCTAGAAAATATAATGTAAGACCAACACTTTTGTTTCTCAGTCACACATGGGTAAAAATAAACATCTAAAACAACAAATATTGAAAACAAATAGAGTTTTCTAACAGTATAAATAGAGAAGCAAAAATATATATTTAACGAGCATTACCTCAAGAGGAGGTGATTCTGAAGCAAGGTATTTTTATTCTCTATGAACAAGAAAAAGACAAAGTGAAAGAGAATGGGGTGCATTACTTTCGAACCCATTTTGCATTTCTCTTTATCAAGAAAAAAGTGAAAAAGATTTGGATACTTTGCTTACGAACCACCTGGTATTCTCTTCAACAAAAAGACGGATAAAGTGAAAGAAAATTGGATGCATTGCTACCCAACCCCAAATTCTCAAGGCACAATCATGGCTTGAGCCATCCTTATTCGTTCGTTGCATCACATTATTTCACGGTACAAACATCACAATTAGAATTGATAATCTATTTCGAACAATAGTAGGCCTACTATTAGTCGTAGCATATAAATTTTGTAAGGATTTATTTTGATAGTGTTTTTGAAATTATTGAATACATTTTTAGTAATTAAAAATGTTTTTTTTTTACTTCCAATTACAATTAAATGGAATCAAACTATGAACCAGCCTAATCCTAGTAACCCATTTTCCAACCTGGTATCATAAGCTATCAGAATGTCCATATGCAATGCACATCTAGCAAGACCATTATTTCTATGGTAATTTTTAAGAAACTCCTTCAAAAGCATACTATTGTCTCCAATTCGCCTGCCTGCGAAGAAAGCAAATTAAGAGTTGCTCACAATGGTTCCTTAACTAAAAATATGTGATCGTTGGTCCTTTAACTTATCAAAATGTGCAGCTATGGTTATTTTCGTCCACAATGTTAGAACTTGCGTCAAAATGAGACACGTGTCATTCATGTGAGGCTGAATCAAGAGGCAAATAAGAAAAATCAAATGAGAAAATTGTTGCAATGGTCGCTCAACTCTAACCTAATTGGAGAAATGGTCCCTCAATTTTAACCCAATTAGAGCAACGGTCCCTCAACTTTAACACAATTGTTACAATGGTCATTTAACTATGACTCATTTTGACGGAGTAGACGAAAAAAAACCGTAGTTGTACATTTTACTGAGTTAAATGACGAATGGTTGTGCATCTTTAGTTGAGGGACCAACGTTTTAATTGGGTTAATATTGAGGGACCATTGTTACAATTTTGTTGACAAAATGGGGCCAAGGGTTACAGAAGGTGGTGGTAACAAGCAGAAAATGGTCTTCTTTTCTTCAGCGAAGAACAATTATTCATGAGTTGTTTGTGAGTTAAAAAATTACGTTATCCCTATGTTAATAGCATGGACGTACCTTTGCATGTGAGTTAAAAATGGACTAAGATTCGCTTCCTCCTATTTTCATCCCCTTCTCTCACATTCTCTTATTTTGTCTTTCTCTTGTTATAAAAAATTAATATAAGATGTTGACGTAGCTTAACCATGACCGTTCAAATAGGAGAAGATGGAAGATGAGGGAAAAAAGTGAGGAAAGGGAATCCTACTCCGTTAAAAATTGCATTTCTTTCCTTTCTTCTGTTCATCGTCCCTTTTTGCCCTCCCTCTCTACAACTATTTTCCATCGCCATCTTAAAGCCATTAAGGAAAATCCTAAACTAGCAAATCTCAAAGCCATTTCTATAAAATCTCAATTGTACGCCAAAGGTCTTGCCTTTTGCTTCCTAGAAATCCTTTTTCCAGTTTTAGAAGCTTGGTTAAAACTTTTCATTCAAACTGATCCAATCAGAGCTTTAAAATCTAAAAACTCAGAAAAATGTTTTGCGGATGGAAAATGAGACAGAGGAGAGAGAAGACGGAATGTAGGTCGGGTGAAAAATATAGACTGAAATGACAAGTAACTGAAAAATAACATAACTTTTACTTTCGAATATGAAACCTCACGAACTTTACCAAAAAGTTTAAATCCTAGTTATTACAACGAAAGCTGTCTTCCAATTATTCTCTCACTTGAAATTTTTTATTATTTTAAAACACGTAAATCAAAATTAGTATCAAATTAACTATGCACGAGTCATTATTTTAAAAACAATTACACAAAATCACTCTCTTTTTGCCACTCCATTTCATAATCTTATTATTTCTGTTCGGCCTGGACTTGTCCCTCGCACAGCTCCCCGGTTCTCTTGGCTGTCGGCAAGGTTTGCTGCAATATGAGTTTGCTGTTAGTTTGAAAGGTGCCTTTGTAGGGCCTTTGCTAGGCCTTAAGGTTCACAATCAAAACTAATATAGATCTGAGCGTGCTACTGTTATCTTTGTATAATAGATTATCTTTATTGGTTATTTACTGGTTCGACTACTTGCGCCACAAGTTACTTTAAAGTTCTTGATCTTGTTGGATTGTCACATACGAGTTAAGTCTGCATAAGGTTCTTTTTCTTGTCTTGTAAACAAGGACTTTTACTTATAATATTGTATGTCCAAAATGAATGGGGTTCAAGGCCCTTCCAACCATTTCTTTAATCATAGTTAACGTTTTAAAGAAACAAGGTTCATTAGTTTAGCTAGTTATGATCATAGATGAGACTTTGAGTGAAAAACCTCATAATTTTAAGATACAATCCAATTGTAGTATGAAAAAAAATTCACATTGTGGTATTTTGGATGTTGGAATCGTCAGTTCACTAAAACGACACTTATATAAGAAAAAGACAAGGATTGAGCTTTCCAGGTTCTTCTTCTTTGCGATGGTGGCTCCACAAGTCAGGCCGACACCGAGCTCTGCGATGGTGGGCCCTGTAAATCGTGGTTGCCATATTGCAGAATCCATAAAAAATTTCTCAGCGAAAACGCACGTATGACCTATCATCTTAATATTTTCTCATAGTGCTTATCAATATGAACGCGTGAGTGTAAGCATAATGAAAATCAGAGCTAAAATGAAGATTTCACAGCACTACAAAGTTTAAGGATAGTATAATAATTTTGTATTACCATGGCTGATTACCTTATGCTGTCAGTTTACCTTTATTTTTCATTTCTATTTCAAATTATTTTATTTCTTTTCCTTTTCATTTTGTTTCTTTTTATTTAAATATGTGGATCTCTAGAAGCAATCGATATGGCAACATCGCGAACTATGTCATGTATTTTTGTAGTCTCACTCCTGCCACCATCTAGTAACAAAAACCTTCTTTTTAGTTGGTCAACCAAAGAATGCACTCTATTTCTTGCATCTTTCAAAGTAACGATGCTGCTAAAATATCCTCGACCCCACCCATATCGAACCAAATACTCAATTTGAATATTATAATCGTCTGGAAATAAACAACAAAGTAAAAGACATGACCTTGCTTCATCACTCTCCAAGCCATCATAACTCAATTTTATGCTAGAATAAACTTTGCTGTCCACTCCAGGGATGTTCACTGGGTTAGAATTTCGCAACTGATTAAGGGCATCTTCCCATGCATGCTTCTTTTTCTTTTCTAGGGCTTTTCCAACAGTTACAATAGCAATAGGTAAACCTCCACATTCCTTCGCAACATCTTTTGGAGTGGAATGTAAATCAGGATCATCGAAGGATTCACCCACCATTTCTCTAAAGAGCTCCTGTGATTCTTCTGTTGTTAAAGTCCGGACTTCAATAATTTGTTGACTTCTCATCTCGTTGCAGACTTCCAAATTCCGTGATGTCAACAAAATTTTGCACCCTTTATTAGTATGTTCGTAAGGAAGTCCTATAGCCTTAAAATCAAGCTCTGTCCATACATCATCTAATACAATCAGGATCCTCCTTATTGCCACGAGTCTCCCATATAGCTTTAGTGCTCTTACAGATTCGGAATCCTCATCAAGTTTCAGACCTATTTGGCCTGCAATTTCCGACTAGATCATCCTGGTACTTGGACTTTGAGACACAGTTGCCATTACGATTTCGCCAAACAGGTTCAGTTCTGCCAATCTTGTGATGATTTCTTTCACCATTGTGGTTTTACCCACACTTCCCATTCCACAGATCCCGATCAGTCTTACTTCTTCCCTCTTCAAACCCTCTATCACCTCATTGATCTTTGCCATTCTGGACTTAAAATCTTTAAAATCTTCTTTGAATGTTGACCATATCTTTCGTGGAGGTGCAGGATGGGCCACATTTACAAACGTTCCTTTGTTTTGGAGCTGAAGAACATGCTGTGTAATCTTATAGGCTTTCCGACTCAAGCTCCATCGATACACACATCGCCCTTTCTTATTAATTTCATCCTCAAAATGCGACACTTTTTGGATCATGTCGTTCACATTCTTTAGCCAACTCTGAACATCGGGTTTGATATTTTCACCGTTCCTTTGGGCAGCATCGACCCATCTTTGCACTCCATCTTTCTTGTCAAAAAGCTTTTTTATCTCACCCTTAACACTTTCAAGGTTGGAATGGTAATTAATCGAATAGCCAAACTCTCTTCCTAATGGTGTGACCAAGGACTCTCCAATTTTTGAGGCAATTGCAATTATAATTTCCATGTCCTTCTGAAATCAAAGACTACGGCTGGAATGCTACTCTTTGTTGCTGGCTTTTGTAAGTCTCGCGCTCAGTGCTCTAATGCCTAAACCAAAGAAGCACCCCAACACAACATCAATAATCATTATTTTTGTCTTCTTTAAATCTAAATTGTATTATCACTTAGTACTACGGTTTAATCCTCTCATGAGCCTTTTCTCACACGTCACTCTCTCTCTTTCCACTCACTTTCTATGCACATGTTTGTGGCATAGAAAACAATAAAAAATTATAAAGAATTGAATGCATGGAAACACATGTGTACAATAAGCAACACTATTCACTTTACAAATTTTCCTCAAATTAATAGTGAAAATATTATGCAAGATTAGTAACCTGTCCGTTTTTTCTTCAAGTAATTCGTCTGATTTTTCTTTGGATAAATAGTAACAAACTATTAAATTGAAAGTTGAATAACAACGACATGGAAAACAGGGTCAAACATGTAATTTTACTGTGCAACAAAGAAAGGAACTTGAAAGCTGGGCAGCA